CATGTATCTAAATAAATATGTAACAACAACATAACGATACTGAACTGTCGTTAAGAGTTACAGAATCTGAGTACTGGAATTTTAAATCCACACCATGTTGTTAATATTAATTACCTTTACCTAACATGGTAAGAATTATGTAGACATCGCATGATATTAAATCCATATTGATATTTTAGAATGTGAAAAAGAAAACATGTTTTTTTTAAAGAAAAGTGAAAAACATGTTCTTCAAAAAGAACATGTTTTTCACTTTTTATCTAATATCTAATTATTAAGTGCCTTATAGATAAGGAGTATAGAAAATAGGAGGTCGAACTAGACTTTGAAAAGTGTGGTCAAAAGATTTCTAAATTAGTATTGGTGGTGCTCAATAGACGGCGTTCGAATCGCAAAACTCCTCTTATATACGCACACATAACCGAACACACAGAATAGAGACGTTATTCTTTGACATCATGTTCTGACAATAACAGGAAGACGTAAAATTGACATTAAAACTGCATGAAGAATGGAGTATTCTTCATGTAAAATTGGTATGACCTACCATGCAAACTGCGAGAACGGTGTGGTTAAAGTCACTAGATTAACAAAAGTATCGCGATGAGAAAATTCACTAAATTAGCATTTGGAGCCAAAATGGCGTCAAAGTGCTATCCTGATTCTGTTAAAAGGTCGGAAACATACAGGAGTCTGGAAGAAGAAGAAAAAGAAAAATCTGATTCTGTTATTATTGAAAATATCTGGTTGCTGTGTTGAAAATTGCAAAAACCACAGCGAAAGAGGCTGAAATTTTGAATAACCGCGCGTCATGGGGCCAAAATGGCGGCAGTTCGCGGTACTTAACTTTGTTAATCTAGTGACTTTAGGTGTGGTGGAACGAAAGCGACATCTCGATCAAACTAATTTAGATGGCCAATTTTGATCACGTTTTTTGATGGCCTCGTCCATATAAGTTCGGCCTCCTATTCTCTATACTCCATGCTTATACTTGCGTACACAAGTAATGTTCATACCATTCAGAAAGCATACTGTCAGCACTATTGCGCCATTAGCTATAAAGTTTAGCAGAGAAAGTAGTTTTTCAAGTGTTGTAAAATTCTTCGATATGATTGATTGATTTATACAAGGAGAGAATTTTTTCTTAGAGTTTATCCTGAAAATGATAGTCGTGGGACAACATATTGTATTTCAAGGAATTTTAATGTAAATCTCTCTTATTCATTAATAAAACTACAATAAAGTATAAAATAAATTTGATTAATTTTACTAAAATGCATAGTAAAAATCTTTAAAATATTGTATTTTGTATTGTATCACATACTACTATATTTTCAGGGTAAATTTTAAAAGATAATTCTCTCTGTGTGTATATTTAGATCCATAAGGAACCAAAGACTAAAAGTAATCGAATTAAAGAATTTTACAACATTTGCGAAGTTGCTTTCTCAGCTAAACGCAGTCATTTGTGCTTGTATACATTTCTCATACAAGCACATTAATATTGAATCAATATCTCAAAAATGTTGAATTGCAACATTACGAATATTACATCAACATCGTGAAATAGATATAGATTTCATATCTAAGGTACTTTTGAAGTATCTATTCTAGGTAATCTGTATACTATATATATTTTAGTTTGTGTATCTGTATCTGTATCATTTTAAAAGTATCTTACTCACCACTACTATGGGGCGGAAGAAAAGAAAGATCTATTGTCATTCATTTTCGCACGTTTAATGCGCGATCGCGTGCTACATTTTGTGCGTGATTAACACGTGTTACGTGAAAATCAAACTTTCGATTTCATCGCCCGGAAGTTTCCTCGGAAGGCAAAACGCTCCCCTCGAATGGGTATTTCGTTCTGATAGACACAAGAGGTAGAATCGTAAATATTACTGGCCTGCGAAGAAAGATCGTAGAAAATCCGCTATTTACATGTGTCCGTAAACACGAACCGCACAAAGTTTTCAGTTTACGACTCGACGAAATCACGTCGAAAAAACAAATACTCGACGCGTATATCAGTTTAACATCCTTACGTGATAAAATTATAAATGTTATCTCCGTATAAACAAAAAAATATCTAATACGTAAAAGACAGCTTTATACTTGCATTTTTGTTTGTCTCGGCTTGTTTGACTTCCTTTAACTTCAATTATCACGATAATAATTAGAATGAGGAGATTCAAACTACAGGTTTTTACAGAGAGAAGAAACTAAAAAGTAGAAATGTTACTCCGTTAAATCAATAAAATTCAATAAATATATAATTGCACAAAAGTATTCCAATGCTCATTTTTCCTGTTAATCTTTATATATAATAACTTGCGAATTGTGTAAACGTATATTTAATAAAATAATAATGAAAAAATGAAATCTATACATACATAAATGATATTAAATCTAATTTTTTTTTTAATCTCGTTTACAGTCATTTTGGAATTACGCTCTTATTGACAACACGACTAAAAAACTACATTAATGTTTATTTCTATTAGTAATACTAATGTAGATTAACTTTAATCATGGTATAACTTTTTATCTTCTTCTAGTTCTAATAAGTAGAAATAGGTAAAAAATAATAAATTAAACTAAGATTATAGTTAATCTACGTTGGTAGAAATTGGTCTAAAAGATCCTCAAAATTTCCAAGAGTTCAGGCAGTTCCAAACAACGCTATATCAAAACTTCATTGAGCAAACTACGAAAATCGTTATTATATTATCGTCGAACGAGTAATCTAATCTACGGACAAAATCCACATGATAAAGATACAAAGATTGTAAAATAAAATGTACTCGAGATAACAAATATTGCGATTTCTCTCTGCAATCACGTAACAGGTCTGTTGTCTTCAGGTTAAACAGGAGCTTATAATCCACGTCGTGCTCGATAGAAACGCGACTCAAGATTCCATTTTCGTACCTAGAACCGTAGGCCCGATATTTTCATCATACATTCAGCGCTACACTTTGTCTTTCTCCCCTTTCACGTACATATCGTGCAAGTTCGGATGTAAAATAGAAGAATAACGATCGATGACAGTCGATCGTATTTAATCCCGAATAAAGCTTCGCGCGTCTTCTTCAACAATTCAATTCAACTTCTCAATAGGAGCATCTGAAATAGTCGCGTATAACTATACGCGACTGTTATATTTAAAGAAAAGAAAATACTAGTGGCAACCATATAGTGGTGACAACTACATAACTGTATAGTTTTATATTTACAAGCATATATTATGAACTTTATATATATATATATATACGTGTAACTATAAGTGTGTGTGTATGTATATATATATGTAACTATATATTTATATCTATAAATTTTATGTAGAATTAATGTACATAATTAAATAAACTGTTTTATGATTACAATAACAAAATAATTTACTTAACTATGTATGAATACATATAATTATTAATCAGATTTGGCAACATCTGCAGTTATTATTAATGCTAACGTAAACTAGTGTAAACGCTAGTTATACGGTTTTAACAACTGGTACTTTAAAATCGGATTTAACTAATATTTCTGCTCTCAATGGCTCCCTAACTCTGAAAGGTCAAGTACCAAACTCCAAGTATCAACTAGCGATTCTACAGCATTTTATGTCAGCAATTAATAACAACGAATGTTACTGCGAGTAATAGTAACACGCAAATGTGATACATTAATTCTACATAATATAAAACCTGTACGATTGCTATCTCTATAGTTGTTACCACTATATTTTTCGAGCGTAGAGAGACAGTTTTATCTGAGAGAAAAAACTTGTAAAGATCAAAATTCTAGGAATTAAGGACGATCTTCCATCGAGGCGTACTTGAGTCTCATTGCAACAGTGATTTTTCTAGTTCCGGAGCGCGCATTTAAACACGCTTTGACTTTTAACGCGTCATTCACCACCTTGGTACGATTAATAACGTATTACCTTTGTTCGTATTACAACCGTGTGAACCAAGAGGCAGCGGCGAATCGTTAACTCGTGTTTAATTAAACCTGTCTGTCACGCAAATCAAGTTCGGTCCTAATGAGCACCGTTGCGAGTCATCGTTGTGTGCCATTTCTTGAACACAGTTTAGGAGAAATTTCAGGTTTATCGTTGACCGTACTACGAAAAGTGGTTGACTTACAGCTTGTCCAATCGATGAAGGACGACCGCGATCAAAAAGCAGCGGCGCCGATTGAACGTTACTCCGAGTTTTGTATCGCTACGCGCGATAGAATCTCTTTCATTGACAGACATGCGGGCTTTCAACGTATTGCAATCTATTGATGAAACACCGTCAACGATGTAAAATTATTATTTGAAAAATCGAATATATCACTTCTAGAAGGATAACCCAAGGTGTCTTTGCGGCAGCCGATTCAAGCAAGTTGACAAGTTTTTCGGAGCAAGTCTTTCACACAGCTGGGGGTCATCGTTACCATTACTTTGGTCTCGGAGTTACTTGTCAATCATCGTGTAAACATCAATTAACGTCAACTATATACTAATCACTGTGCCGCGTGAGTCATCCGTTATCGACCGCGACGGAATCCGTATTCTAAGGTGAAGTCTCCTCGTCGTCCTCGGACGGAAAGTCGGGCGAGTCAAAGCAGGAAACGAGATAGTCGGAAGACTCTGACTGGACTCGGCAGATCGAGGACGATGATACACGAAAAATCGCAGGAAAGGAGCGAGTCGTATTCTAAGGTGAAGTCTCCTCGTCGTCCTCAAATGAAGACTCGGGTGAAGTTAAGCGAGAGCGGAATGATTGGGAAACCTTGATTGAACTCGACGTCTTAGTCAGGGACGATGATACACCAGGAGTCGCAAGAATGATGTTCGCGTGCGCGAACTCGAGTCGTATCAGTCGTATGGTTGTCGCGAGTCGCTGATCGAGAGGCGTCGAAAAGCGCGCTAGAGAGTCCAGTTTGTACGTGTGTTCGAAGAGAAGGAATAGAAGGAGGGAGAGAGAGAGAGAGAGAGAGAGAGAGAGACTCACCTGCCTGGACCGTGACGAGGGTGCCCACCGCTAAATATAGCATCCCCAGCAGCACAAAAGCGGCTCGCCTCTCCATCCCGGTGGCGCTGCTGCCGACGTACGCGGTGGCGCGTGACCGTGTGCACCGTGCACGGCAATACGATAACCAACGACGAGCACGATGCCCCACCTCGTCGTCGTCGTCGTCGTCGCGGAGCGAGAGAGGAACCTACGCGGCACCTGGACAAGCAATGCCTATTGCTGCGTTGATGGGCCGTCGTACACGGATATAGCGTGTCTTCGTCGTCGTTGCCCCCGTCGTCCTTGTCCTTATCGTCGTCGTTACCACCGCGACTTCCCGTGGCCGTCACCTCGTCGATATTCTCGGATGGTCCGTCAAAACCGCGAATTCTCTTTCCGCACCGATTGTGCGCAACAGACGATTGGATAGTTCGCGCGAAGGCGCCCGTCACACAGCTGCTGCTGCTGCTGCTGTTGCTCCACCTCCTCCTCTTCTTCCTCTTCCTCTTCTTCTTCTTCTTCTTCTTCTTCTTCCTCCTCCTCCTCCTCCTCCTCCTCCTCTTCCTCCTCCCCCTCCTCCTCCTCCTCCACCTCTTCCTCCGCCACCGATGTCGCCGCTGCCGTTGCCGTCACGATCTAGCACTGACGTTTGATCGTCCGTCTTATCGTTATCTCTGCACTCTTATCTTAATGCGCACTACACAGTGACCGTCCAGGTGCCGTCGCCGCCGTCGTCGTCGCCGTCGTCGCCGCTCCGTCGTCGTCGTCGCTCCCTCCACCACCGCCTCCTCTTTCTTCTTCCTCTACCTCTCCTTCTCCACGTTACCGTCGTCGTCGATTTACCTTTTGGAAGTGACAGAGGGGGTAGGAGAGAGAGAGAGAGAGAGAGAGGCACACGGATCACTACACGGATAAGCACAGTGGTGCGAGCCACAGCAGCTATACTAACTACGGCAACGTCAGAAGAAAAATGGCGATCGTTGTCTTCTGCTCAGAGCCTCTCCCTCCTTCTCCGCCACGCAAATGTCCGTCTCGTTCTGTCACGCGCCAATCGACTTCCCCTCCACTTCGCCATTACCTCTTTTTTTTCCGATAAAGGTGCAACCACAATAGAGGAAATACGGAATTAGGAATCAGGAATAAAGATTTCAACCTATCAGAAATCGGATACATCGGAATACACGGTTTCTGATAGATTGGAATTATTATTCCTAATTTCTTGTTCTCCTTCTATTATGACTGCACCTTAACCGTGCGAATTCTACGGTTGCGCTCTCTGCAGCGATTCGCGGTTCCTTTAAGCTTAATTCACACGGTCTTTAAAATTCACAAGAAATTCAAGGCGATTTAACTTGAAGTCTGTTTCTGTCAATGGCTGCGAATTCAGCAGAAAAAGCTTTGCAAGTGTTGTAAGGAGCTTCGCACAATAAAAGGAACAGGGAGCAGAGAATAAGAATTTTAACCTATCAGAAACTGTGTATTCCATAATACATGATTTTTGATAGATTGAAATTCTTAGGTGTTCCGCACAATAAAAGGAACGGGGAACAGAAAACAGAGAATAAGAATTTCAACTTATCAGAAACTGTGTATTCTGATAAGTGAAACGTGATTTCTGATAGGTAAAATTCTTATTCTCTGTTCTCTATTCCCTCTAAGGGTACATTCACACAAACTTGCATAGCCGCATAAATATATGCATAAAGAAAATTATCCAATCACATTTTACGTGCAACTTTGTAAGAAAAATGCGATTAGATAATTTTCTTTATGCATTATGTTTATGCAGCTATGCAAATTGTGTGGATATACCGTAAGGGCCATTCCACACAAACTCGCACAGCCGCATAAACATATGCATAAAAAAATCATCCAATCGTATTTTACGTTTGCCTTTATGACAGAAATGTGATTGGATAATTGTTTTTATGCATATGGTTATGCGGCTATGCAAGTTTGTGTGGAATGGCCCTAAAACTCTTTGATGTGATTGGTCTTGCTCTTCATAATCGATTTGTTTGATTTTCTAGATCTCTTCAGTTTCTAGAGTCATCGATAGTTGACGCTAAAATCGGAGACGTAAAAATTATTTCACATTTAAATGCCTCAATTTAAATCCCCTAGTTCAAGTTTAAATCTCTTGATAAAACGATCGATATCTGTCATCTGTGTTTGACAACTTGGCGCATTATGTTTCGGATAAAGGATTTCGTACACCGATAGTCGCTGTCACGTAAAACTGTGCTCGATTGCAACAAAGATCTGCAAAATTTCCGTTTCTTTTTACTAATGAGGAGAACACAATGTTGAAGTACATTTTTCCTGTTTCGATAATCGTTCTCGCCTGCTTGTTACAGCGATCTGAGGTTAGGATGCTTTTTCACGGTTGAATTAAATCCAATTCACTGGTAACGACTGGTTAACGACTGTGAATGATTCTAGGCGCAATATGACGACAAGAGATGCAAGTGCATCTGTCCGAGCCTTTCTTCCGTTATAAATACAACGCAGTCGACCGAACGTCTCACATACATTATAAACGTACCACCATTACAATGGTAATTATTGGCTTCCAACGAGAGATTAAATCATCTCATCTACAAAATGTTCTTTACTTCCTATTTTTTGTTTTTTACCTCGTGCTTTTTTCTTTGCAACCATTTTATTAATAATAGTGTTTCTTTTCACACATTTCTCGTCTTTTCGAAGTTTGTTGACTTTTATCTTGGGCAACAAGAAATAAAAAACTGAATAAAAGACAAAAAGGCAAGAAGTAAAAATAGAAAACAGGAAACGAAGAGCACAATGTAGAGAATTAATAATGTAGCTTAATCTACATAGATTAAGCTTACTGGTACTTTCCAGCAAGAGACAGTAATCATTTCATTTTTGTTTAACAGTGGCAAACATGAAATATATAATACTCTATGTTACATTGTGAATTCTTTCTATTTAATGGCACAAGTCGACACACAAGTGTCATTCTACCATTGTTATTCACTGAATGTCAAGAAAGATAGAATGATGCTTGTGTCAATTTGTGTCTCTAAATGTCCTATCTACATTTCTTGCTGAAAAACAAATCCAATATTTTATATATATTAATAAGGGCTCTATCCATGTAACTGAGAGTTTTCCAGCTAGAAGTCATAATTAAACAGTGTCAAAAAAGGAACACTATGTAAAGTTATTTATTGTTTAAACAGAGCTGCCAAATTTTTACAGCACACTGAAATTTATTTTTTAAATAGTTGATACATTTGACACAAGTTTCAATTTAGCTTTTTGGCTGTATTTATTTGTGTTGTATCATTGAAAAGCAGTGTATTGAATATTATATCACTTTGTATCGCTTGTGTCCTTTGCTGGAAAGGACACAATATTTGCTTCCATAATTTACTTCTTAATTTTCATCAATATAATATAATCATAACACACATCTAATTTGTAGCAAGTGCGAAAGTGTTGTTCTGCCGAAACTTGGTGACCAAATAAAAGGCAAGGAGGAGGTATTTTGCTCGCGATGCGACTGCAAATATGAAAACAGGAACACGACTATTATTAAGGTGTTTATTTCTTCATTGACAAACTTCCTATCATTATTTTATAGACCATTTAATGTAACAGAAGAATTTATGTTGCAGATTGTGGTGATAATAGTTATATGGGTTATCTCATTGTTAGTAATTTATATGTTATTCCTAATTTGTCTGGATCCACTGCTTAACAAGCGGATACACAAGGCGTCAGCAAATATCGGTTATCATGAACATAATAATGAAGAGGTAAATATATCATTAATTTTATTTTTCTCTCCAATAATGATAGTACTATCACTCGCATTACATTGGATTAGTTTACATTAAAAAGGCTGCCTTATATAAAGTATTTAAATACAGTAGCATAATATAATCAATTGTGTAATAATGAAATAATACATGTATATTCTGTCAAACAATGTGACATATCATTATTAGATATTTTATCGTTTAAAATATTTATGGTTTTACATTTGACTTTGCTAATTTCATTTTATTAGCAACTTTTAGTATACTAATCTATAATGCAAGTGACCAAATTTGCTGCGTTCGAATACGTAAAATAAATGTAACGTTTAACGACTAAACACTGATTATACATAATTATCTGTATGATACATATTTTCTTCTTTTATTTTACAAAGGATGATTCATCTCTCGCACCTGGAACGTCTCACCCAATGGGAGAAAGGGGCAATGTTTTGAATCGTGTTGGACACCAGCAGGACAAGTGGAAGCGACAAGTTCGAGAACAGAGGCGGAATATTTATGATCGTCATACTATGCTGAATTAAGTTGAACAATTCGTTTCCTAAATATGTAAAATACCCAGACAGAATACTTCTAAATGTGACGACAATTTATTCGATCCTTTCGAAGTAAACCTTCCGCGAATAGTTTGTAAAAATATAATATATTACAATAATAAAGTAACATTAAGCGTTAGCGATTATTTTTGACAATCATTTATTTTCATAAAATTCTATCCAGTAGACTGTCACGATTAATATAAATGAAAA